ATAAGACAAGGATTTGAGATCTATAATTTTTTTTCTCTGATACTTCAGCATTGCCGACTCGAATCAGCAGCTCCACGCAAAAGCTCAGAGTACCTCCTAGTTAATCATATTTAGCTTATCCTCCTACTCACCTCTACAATCCCTTGCTGCGTATACTTAACATTATTGCTGTCACACCTCAATCCACTGTAAGCCATAAGACTATGATTGCTTTTCATAAGACTAAAAAAACTAATAGAAAATAAGAGAAAATGTATAAATCTAAATATAGCTGGCAAACAGAAAACTTCAATAAACTTGTGTATATAAAGCTTATTCCCACTCCACAGTGTCTGAGATGAATATTCAAGGAATCGATGCTGGGGCGCACAAGGTCAGAGGAACTCAACCTGGTATCAGCGCAAGGCACAATTACATGGAAAATTTAACAGTGAAAACAATGCGCCAAAAACTTTCAAGCGTTTCTGTTTGCCAATTTTGTTTTTGTTTTATTTTATTTATTTTATTTATTTTTTTTTTTTAGCTTTAGCTTTTTGTCCATTTTCGCAGCGTTTCGCAGTTTGGATTTTGCGTATTTTCCAGTTTGCGAAATGTTCTTATCCGCTTGCTTTGCATCTTAGCAACAATTTAAGCGAGACTTTTATTCGCAACTTGTTAACAAGCAGAGCAGCAGCGCAGTTGGCGTGGACAGCGCCGTTGACTGCTCTGCTGACGTCCACTGTCGTCGCTGCTCATTAAAAACTTTGCACCAGTTCGAACTTTGCATCAGTTAAGCAACAACAGCAACAAGAAATGACAACAAAATTGCCGAAAATTATAAGTGCATAAAGTAAACGAAAATACGCAAAAATCTGAAATTGCGACTCGCTGATAACAACGTCGTTAATCAATCATTAATGCTCAATCCAGCCATGGATCAATCTAATTGAAAACCATCAAAATTCATCTCAAAAGTTGACAATTTATGCGTATATCGCTCAGAAATTATAGCTATTTATTTATTTATTATCTTTATATATCCATTTATTATCTTATATTTTATGTTTTATTGTTATATATTTAATATTTTAATAGGTAGAAATATTTCTATCATTCATATTTCTTTAATCTTAAGATTTAAGCGTTGCTGGTTCTGGCAGCTTACTCAAAACTTTCCTTAACTCAACCTATACCTGTAAGTCATATCTGTTTAATCCTGCTTCTAGCATCAAACTGAAAATAATATCGATAGTTCTAGTAGCGCACCGAAAAGTTTCTTTTGGCCAATAGCTATACTTTTGCTTATAGCTATACTTTTTCTTTGTTAGCTATATTCATTTATAAGCCCTAGCGTGAAAATGCAAATCGAGCTGAAACTTCTAGTTAGCTGGTTACATTCAACTTTCTTTGTTATAACTTAAGTTATAATTACTTTTCAGACAAATTTTATAATATCTATTTTCGATTTTTCTGAAAGTAAAATTATGAAAACTTCTCAATAGACTCTTTTAAATTGAGCATAAATCTAACTAGTCCAACTATAAAATATTTTTATTTAATTTTCATTTTTTAT